CATCCTTTCTATCAGGAAATTATATTTACTCAACCCGAAAACGTACCCAGAGTGTGTCCACTTCTTTCTATCTCCACTGCCTAGACTCACCGACTCACCATCCTCGGTCCCGAATGGCTGCAATTAGTTCCTCATTGGCCTCCCCGCTTCTGTTTTTGCCTCTCTCATCCATTCTCAATGCAGCCAGCAGAGGATCCTTTTAAAACAAGAGTCAGATCCAGTCCCTCTCTGCTCCCAACCTTGCAATAGCCTCTCATATCACTGTGGCTATAAGCCTAAGTCCTTCATGGCCCCTTTCCACCATTTCACCTCATCACCTTTACTCTCCCATGTTTTTCCATAGGACGTACCATTTTCTAACATACTGCACAATTTACTTTTTGCTTTATTATTTATTACCTATTGCCTTCCTTCCTCCCACCCCTTGCAGTGTAAGCTCCTAAAGGGCAGTGAGTTTTGTCTGCTTACTTCACTGATGTATCCTAAGCACCAAGAACAGTGCCTGGTACTTACTTAGTGGATGCTTGGTATTTGTTGAATGACTACATTATACAATGTCTAGTGTTGAATAGATGGAAGAAATAATAGAGAGAAGGATGAATGGAAGGCAGGATGCACAGGGGGAGGAGAAGAAAGGGGTATTTTAAGGTTCATGGTTGCAGAGAAAATTCCCTGGTCCTGCCAGCTCTAACATCTCCCATAATCTACAGCTAAAAGTCTCTAGGAACCACAATGTTTAGGAAAAGCATTGTTTTGGGAAGACAGCAATGCGTACTGGGCAGTAGGGAGGGATGGGTGAGATCTGGACTCAGGTCCAGGGCTCATGAATGCCTGCCATTTCCCCAGCCACTGAAAGACACAATCTCTGATGTGGGACATTGTCAGGTGCCATCACCAGGTTCCAGGGAGGGAGGAAGAAGCTTCTCTTTACTGTACCTCCTCTGAGGGGTAGGGCCAAAAATCCTTTCCTGTCCCCGCTCTGGCCCCAGGCACTCTCCTGCCCCTGCCCCTTCCTTCTCAAGGTGGGTCTTTGGTCATCAGAGAGCATACCGCGGGGGCACCATGGTTCGCCATATCCAGCCCACCCACACTAATGCCCCGGCCACCTCTGCCAGCTCTGCTACTCACAGGACCCCCCTCTCTGCGTAAGATGAGGGGCCGAACAGGAGCGCCAGGGCTCAGAACCCAGGGGCCCCTCACATTGCAGGCTGAAATAAGAGGGAGACAAAGAGTGTCTTCCAACGGCTGTTCAGGTGAAGGTCACCCAACCCTCTTAAACAGACACCTTGTGCTCCTGTTCCTACAGTCAGTTTGTCAGATGTACTGGGCTTGGTAGGGTTCAAGGAGAAAGCTGCTGCATTCTTCACCCTGCCTTTCAAATAAGCTCTACCAAGTCATCCCTCCAAATAGGTAAAATGTACCCATTTTTTGGGTAGTCGAAATTACAATTCTCTCCATCTGCAGTTTCCTCTCCCCCAACTGGGACCAGGTTCAGACCTGGTTACATGGGAAACCTGCATGAGGCTGAGTGACGGGTGAGCTTCTTGGCCATTTCCCACCTTGTTCTTCCATTTGTTCTTCCTCTCACTGCTGTCTCTAGCTTCCCCCAAGATCGGGGTGAGGGAGGGGAGGGGGGGTTCCTACCCATTCTCCTCCCCTTTTTCCCCCTTTAGTGACACAGCGCTAACTGGTGGATGGAGAGGTCAAATATAATCCTCTCACGCATCACTTTCCTGCGTTCCCCAGGGCTGTACCCCAGGAAACGTCAGGCCACAGTGCCAAGCAGCCCGCCAGCCCTCACCCCACGTTTGTCTGGGTGTGAGAGTGAAAATTCCACGGGATACACGTCAAGCTCTTAAACCCTTCAGTCAGCCTGAGGTGCAGTTAAACTCCTCTTCCCTCTCCTAAGTATTTCCACAATCCGTGTTCTAAAGAAGGCCCCACTCTAATGTCTCACCGGGCCTCCCCTTATGTACTTCCAGGGTAGCACAGCACAAGTAGCCTCTGGCCATCTCTTCCCCACAGTCTGTGTAGATAAATGATCCAGCCCCTCAATTTGCAGAGATACCCACATCTCTTGTTCTCACCTTTGGAGCCTCAGTGATCAAAGTCTCATTTAGCCTCCTGTTTTAAAACCTTTCATGCAGTATTGATGATGCGCCAGACAGGTTATTTCATTTAATTCTCAAAAGCAGTGAATATTATTATCCTTTTTGGAGATGGGGAAATAAGCCCCAGAGAGTCATAATTTGCCTATATTCATGTCACCTCATTAGACCAAGGCCAGAAGAGTTCTTTTGCCCCACTCAGTGGCCTCCCCCTAATAATTCTCTCTCTCTCTTTCTCTCTCTCTCTGCCCCTCCCCCCGTAACACACACAAAGTTTAGGTTCAGCCTAGACATTCTGAGGCTCTGTCTCCCAAGTTCAGAGCTAGTTCTTGGAGAATCAAGAATCTCAAAGACTCACAGGCACCGGCCACTAATGACCACAGTTGCCTGTGACTTTAGGTCATTTACAGAAGAGACTGTGGGGGCCACCGCAAAACCTAATGTTTGCCGCCTGCTGATACCCACACATTTGCCCTGCTCCGTTTCTAGAAAAGCAATCATTCCTCTCCTTCCCCTTCACCTTCCAAAGCAAATGCAGCACCCCTTCTCAGTAGAAGCTAGTCCAGAACAATGCTGAGAGTCCTGGAAATTGTGGGTCTCAGGCTTTTAGCCCTCAGGAAAGAGACAGCAGACAAAGGAATGCAGATAAATGCTGATTGCAAAATCACCATTGTTGCTGTTCTTTAGGCTGGTATTTGAGTGCTGATGAGGTCGAATGTTTTCCCTTGGCTTGTTTACTGTGTTTTCCGTTTCCCTCTCACGATAATCCAGTTCCCTCCCAAGCAGCCTTGCTTCTTATCAAAGCCGGTGCCTGAGATTTGTTGCCTGGAGGAGGGGGCTTGAGGGGTCCCAGCGAGAACAAAGGAGACCAGCTGTTAGGAGAAGGCTGAGGGTTGGAAAGTCCCTACAGAAGGAAGAAAGGGGAATGCCTCCCCTTGTGACTTGGTGGAAGGCGGCAAGAAGAAGGGGGTGCTTGGGCAGGAGTGGAGGTGCTAGGGTCCTGGCACCCCCAAGACCCTGGGGTACAAACTCTGGGTGAAATTAGGATCACATATGTTTAGAGATTTGAGAGCAGAAGAGACCATGGCCTGGCTTCCTGGGGCATCTGGGAGGTCACAGGCCTTGCAAAGGGGCCATGACGCATCTGGCTCCTGGGCAGCAGATCAGAACTGAAGGAATTGAACATCTCCAGAAGCTGGGTGGCTACGGTTAACCCTGAGGAAGGTAATATCTGGGAGCCTTATAAAAGACCTTGAAACCTGTGAATTCTGAATCCTGTGGGTGCCCATGGTAGACAAGTTACCAAAATGTTCACAATTCTTTACCCCCTCCCTTTACCCCCGCCCATTCCAATGTGCTTGTGTGGTTCCTCCTATCGAGGGGTGAAGTCCATTTTTCAACCCATGAACCTGGTCTAATCTTATGACATGCTTTGGCCAAAGAATGTGGCAGAAGTGGAATTGGACCTTGCAACTTCTGCTCTCTCTCTCAAAGCTGCCTCTCTCATGGGAACAAGCCCAGAGTAGCCCCCTGAAGAATATGAGACCCCATGGAGAAGAGCTAAGGTGGCCCAGGTGACAGTTGGCCTGTCACAGTAGCAGAACTACCTAGCCACCCTGCCACTGAAGTCAAGTGCAGGAACAATCAGCAGACGTGCAAAGAACCATGGAGCGGAGCCTAGACGAAACTATCAACCCACAGACTCATGAATTAAATACATGGTTATTGTTTTAAGACACCACATTTTGGGATGGTTGTTACATACCAATAGCTGAGTGATATAATGCCTGACCTAATAAAACAAATTAAATTAATTTTTCATGAACCATGAAAATAAAAGAATAGCTGAGAAAGGAATCCACACAGATGAGCAGATGATTCAGAATCTCCCCTGGGAGGGTGACATCGAGGTGCTGAGGGTCTCATGAAACTTTTTAGGCTTGTTGTCAGTTTAAAGAGGCTCCTATATATGGGTCTCTTCAAAAGGAGGACAGTAAAGGGAGCAACGGGATTTAGCAGTGGTGCCAATGCAAGTGTTCCCCAAGTCCCAGGCAGGGCAGGCCACACCTCAGCAGACCCAGGACAAAATTTGCAGGGACCAGGTCTTCCTCATGACAGTGCTCAGACCCAAGGCTACTGCCCTGCCCTAGAAAGAAACTTCAGTTTTCTCTGCAGCCAGGACTCTCTGGAGCAGGAGTGAAAGAGGAAATTGCTGAAAGCATAAGCTTTTTTTTTTTTTTTTTTTTTTTTTTCCTGGGAAAGACTAAGTGGATCTGAAAGAGAATGATGTCAGCCTATACAGTGCTTACTCTTCCCCATACATGCAACCATATTTTTGTTGTTTTACAGACCAGGAAACTGAAACACAAAGTGCTCAAATGATTGTAATGATTGGGTAAAGCCAAGATTCGAACCCAGGCACTGTGGCTAATGAGGTTACCAGAGTCTGGAAGAGCCTGGGATTTCCTTAATGGACTCAGAAACAAAAAGGCTTAGAGATGGCAAGTGAGTTTGAAAGGTCACTCAAACAGGAAGAGAAAAAGCCCACACTTGACCCAAAGCTTGGCTGACCTGAGCACACATTATGACAGCCATACTCATCTCCCTCCCAAATGTTGGGGGCAGAGTCTGCGGCAACGGATCATCAAAGTTTTTCCAGCGATTACAGGAACTACTGCGCAGACACAAGAGCTGGAAACCCCTCCACCAGGCTCTTTCCTCTGGCATCAGCAGTCTCATCTTGATGTAGTAAACACACTTCCTCAAGCAGACCTCACTGTGAGAAGCAGGCACAGCCTTGCCCACAGGCTCCACTTCAGGCTCCAACACGCATCAGAGAGCAAAGAGGCAGCCAGTCTCAGGGACCACAGGAGGCGCCACGTGCCCCGCATCATGCCCGCCCCTCTCCACCAGGCCCGTTCGCCTCCTTCCAAGCTGCTGGTGTTGCTTCTTGTCCTCTCAGGTGAGTAGTATCTGGGACAGAACCAAATGTACCCCTGGCCGGTGCTCTGGCATGCATGGTGGGGCTCAAACCCACCAAGAGAACGTAGGAGGAGGGTGTTGAGAACTTTCCTGACCCCAGCAGACCATGTACCCAGTGTCCCAAGAAGCAGAACTTCTTAGGCAGCACAGTTCAAGTTGAGCTCCCAGGCTTTGGGCTCATGCCAGGTGGTTTCTAGCTCGGATACTTGCGTGCCCATGTCAGCTGCCACAGCTCTTCTACATAGCGGGACCACTAATGAGATCTTTCGCTAGGCATGTTGGGAGTATTAAACATAAAAATGGTGAGGTATAGTTTGGGCTGTTGATATTATCTGCAGAGCCCAGCGCAAAATGAAAACACAAGTCCTTTCTTCAAAAAGTGTTATGAATTTTTTTTTGTTTTTCAAGTACAGTTGTTTCCATTTTTTCCCTACCACTCCCCCCTGCCCCACCTGTCCCCACCTCCCACCCTCCATCCTACCTCCCTTTGGCTTTGTCCAAGTGTCCGGTAAACATGTTCCTTGACAACTCTTCTTCCCCTTTCTCCCCACCCTGTTATCCCCGCCCCCCTCCCCTCTGGCTACTGTCAGTTTGTTCATTATTTCAATGTCTCTGGTTATATTTTTTTTCTTCTTTCTTTTTTTTGAATAGGTTCCACTTATAGGTGAGATCATATGGTATTTATCTTTCACCCCCTGCCTTATTTCACTTAGCATAATGCTCTCCAGTTCCCTCCATGCTGTTGCAAAGGGTAGGAGCACCTTCTTTCTTTCTGCTACATAGTATTCCATTGTGTAAATTGTACCAGAGTTTTCTGATCCTCTCATTTACAGATGGGCAAAAAAGTGTTAAGAATTTTAAGGCAACAGAAAAGCATTAACTCAAGCATGGGGCCCGGCTAAGCATGGTGTCCCCTGTGACTGTTCACTTCGAGTGTCCATGAGCCAGCCCTGGCCCAGCCCGAGACAAATCTCACCGCCGATTGTTTTAAGTAACTTCTCTGTGAGCCTCGGGGTTCCTTCTCTGTAAAACAAGACTAATCATAGGACCCACCTATGACTTTGTTAGAACATTTCAATGAGATAATACCTATAATGACAGTTGACCCTTGAACAGTACAAGGGTTAGAGGTTCTGACTTCCCATGCAATTAAAAACCATAATTCTCCAAAAACTTAATGGTAGTTTACTGTTGAGCAGAAACCTTAGAAACAGTCAATTAATACAAATGTTGTATTTATGTGTACTATGTACTGTATATTTATAATTAAATAAGCTAAAGAAAAGAAAACATTATTAAGAAAATCATAAAGAAGAGAAAATACATTTATAGTGCTGTCTGTATTTATGGGGGACAAATATCCACGTAAAGGTGGACCCATGCAGTTCAAACCTGTGCTGTTTCAGGGGTGAACTTGTACCTGGCACAATGTAAAGATTTAATAACTATTGGCTATTATCATACAGATCAGTGTGTTTTAGCTCCAGAGTCTTGGGGTTTCTGGGTAACGCTCAGCCTCTGAGCCCAGAACACTGTGATCCACCAGACAAGATGCTTGGCTCTCAGTTGGCTCACTCCATCTCTTGCTCAATGGGGTCCCTTGTCCCCAGGCCCTGTTGAGATCTAGATTCTGTTCATCATATCTTGGGTTCTCCAGGATGGTCACCCCAGAAGGGACCCTGGTGGAACCCAAATATGGGGCCAGACCTGGATGCTCCCTTCTTTATTGGCTGTCACTTGAGGAACTGCTTCATTTTTCTGCGCTGGTTTCCTTGAATAATGATAACTAATATGCTTAGCGTTTATGTTGTGCTGAACCCTCCATCAATTATTGAAAGAAGGGATATTGAAATATCAGGCTATAACTGTGGATTTGTCTATTTCTCCCTGCAGTTCTGTTGGGTTTTGCTTTATATACTTTGAAGTTCGGTTCTTAGGAGCATAAATGTTTGGGAGTTGTGTGTCTTCTTGATTAATTTATTCCTTTATCATTATGAAGTGACATTCTTCATAATGCTCTGAAGTCTACCTTATCTGATATTAATACAGCCAATCCAGTTTTCTTTTGAATTAGTGCTAGCATGCTTTATATTTTTATATCATTTTTTAACCTATTTGAACCTTTTATATTTAAAGTGTATTTCTCATAAGCAACAGATAGTTGGGTCTTACTTTTGTATCCAATATGACAATATCTAATATTTACCTAGGATATTTATACCATTTACATTTAAGGTGATATTTGTATGACTAGATTTATGTATATTTTTTGTAATTGAATATTTTTATCATTTTTTCAAGATTTTATTTATTTATTTATTTTTAGAGAGGGTAAGGAAGGGAGAAAGAGAAGGAGAGAAACACCAATGTAGGGTTGCCTTTCACACAGCCCCCCACTGGGGACCCGGCCCCCAACCCAGGCATGTGCTCTGACTGGGAACGAACTAGCAACCCTTCAGTTCGGAGGCCAGCACTCAAACCACCGAGCTACACCAGCCAGGGGGTAAATGAATATTTTCATAATACTATTTTGTCTCCTTTATTGGCTGATTAGCTATAACTTTATTTTGTAGTTTAGTGGTATGGGGTTTATTTTATACATCTTTAATTTATCACCATCTACCTTTGATCATACTATTTCATATATGCGGTCATGCATTGCTTAAAGACAGGGGCTGAGAAATGCATCATTAGGTGAATTTGTCATTATGTGAACACTTAGGGGCCATGATAAACAAAACAACAAGAGATTAAATTATTCACAAGAGAAAATGATGGAATGAAGAGAAGCAATAAACATGAGATGTGTGAGGCTGCTACCAGAATAACCATGATACAATGTTTCTTTTTCTTATCCTGACCCAAGGACACGTTTCCATTTATTTTAGAGAGAGAGGGGGAGAGAGAGAAAACTTCAATTGGCTGCCTCCTGTATATACCAAGACTGGAGATCAAACCCACAACGTATGTATGTGCCATGACCAGGAATTGAACCAGCAACTTTTCAGTGCATGGAATGATGCTCCAACCAACTGAACCTCATGGCCAGGTCATGGCATACCGTTTTAGAGAAAAGTTCTATTTTGTAAGTAGAAAGAGTACTCTAAAATAATGATAAAATGTACAATATAGTAAATATATAAACCAGTAACGTAATCATTTATTATCATCATCAACTATTATGTACTGCACATACCTATATGTACTATATTTTTATATCACTGGCAGTGCAATAGGTTTGTTTACACCAGCATCACCACAAACATGTGAGGAATATATTGCTCTATGATGTTACCATGGCTATGATGTCACTTGGTAATAGGAATTTTTCAGCTCCTCTATAATCTTATGGGACCACCATAGTATATGCAGTCTGTCATTAACCAAAACATCATTATGTGGTTCATGACTATAGCATGAGAACATTACAATAGTATACTAACATTTCTCCCATCTCTGCCTTTGTTCTATTATTGTCTTAACTTTACCTATTCATGTGCTATAAGCCTGACAATAGAATGTTATTACTTTTTATCATTTTGGGGGCTTGCTTTTCAGATTTGTTAAGTGAGACCAGAGCACTTCTCTCTCAGTAGAGTGATCTGTCTTCTATAGTCCACCCACTGCCTTGCCGATCATGAGGTTTTCCAGTCTGGCTGGTGGGAACAGGTACTATTCTCAGCCTTGGGTTGAGTGATGGACACTGTTTTGCGCATGCGTGTGAGAAAACTACCCGAGGCCAGGAAAAGACCCACCAGAAACCTGCAGGGGTGTCCAAACTTTTAGCATCTCTGGGCCACACTGGAAGAAGAAGACTTGTCTTGGGCCACATATTCAATACATTGTGACACATAATCACAAAAAAAATCTCATAATGATTTAAGTAAATTTATGATTTTGTATTGGGCTGCATGCACAGCCATCCTGGGCCACATGCAGCCTGAAGGCCATGGGTTGGCTCAGAGAGAACAGACCTGACTAGCTCCGATAATGGTGTTTGAACTGGGTGTCGCTGAACTTCTTGGAACTGTGGACACCAGGGACAAAAGGCATCCCTAGGATTAAATATGGGGTGTCACTTGGCTGTGAGGCAGTCCTTACTGGCTGATAGAAAATGCCTAGCAGAAAACAGGCAGAAAAAAATTTAGAATTCTACAACCTCTCCCCATCTCCTTTCTCATAGAAGGAATGTTCGCTTCATCTTCCTACTTCACCTCATTTGCAACTGAGAAATGCCATGTTATACTGCAAGCTTCTGTCTTGGAGTGAGACTGAGTTATTCCCAAGGCCTGATGGGAACACAAACCAAGGGAAACTCAGGGCAAAGCTGATGACCTTATGTTAAGTAGAACCCTAAGTCACCTGACCTGTGTTGAAATCCTGGCCATGACACAGGCTGAATGCATGGTACACTTCGGGTTTCTTCAACTCTCTGAGCGTTAGTTTTCTCATCTGAAAAATAGAGATAGGAAAATAGCATCCTCCTCATGGAGTGTTAGTACCTATGATGTTCATAACCTGGGTGTAGAAGAACTTCCATAGGCAGCCTCCATCCTCTTGGTCTGAGACGTCTAAGGCCAAATTCAAAGTTCAACCTATCCCCAAAATAGACCCACTTCCCAGCACATCAATAAGCATTGCTGAAGGAGTCACAGGCGGCAAGGAGGGCACTTACGCTAGCAGCACAGTACATAGGCTTCGTGTGCTGCTTTTGAGGGTTAAGAGCAGAGGGCTCCGGAAACAGGCTTCAAGTGTGTAGATTGAGGCTGTGTCACGTTCTGTGGGGTGGTGACTTAGTTTGCTAGGGATGCCATAACAAAGTACCACAGGCTGCTGGCTTAAACAACAGAAATTTATTTGTTCACGATTCTGCAATCCAAAAATCTAAGACAAAGGTGTCTGCAGGGTTGATTTCTTCTGAGGCCTGTCTCCTTGGCTTATAGATAGCTGTCTTCTCCCTGTGTCCTCATGTGGTCTTTCTTCCCTGTGTGTGTGTGTGTGTGTGTGTGTGTGTGTGTCCTAATCTACTGCTCCTATAAAGACAGCAGTCATGTTGGATTAAAGATTTATAGCCAAGATGGAGCGTACGTAGATAGATATGCTTTGCTTCCTCACACAACCACAAGAAGGACAACAACCAATTTAAAAACACAAAAAACCAGACCTGCCAGAAAATTGAACTGTATGGAAGTCCAACAACCAAGGAGCTAAAGAAAAAACATTCATCCAGACTGAGGAGGGGTGGAGGCGGCAGCTGTAGCGGAGAGGACACGGGGCAAGGCAGCGGCTGGAGGAACGAGCAGGTAAGGTGGTGGCTGGCAGACCGGGTGGTCTCACATTCATGTGCAGATAAACCAGAAGGAACAACTGGGGAGCGAGACAGGCCATGCAACCCAGGGTTCCCATGTGGGAAACTAAAGCCTCAAAATCTCCAGCTGAAAAAATCTGTGGGGGTTGTGGCAGCAGAAGAAACTCCCAGCCTCACAGGAGAGTTTGTTGGACAGACCCATCGCGTCCTAGAACATACACAAGCCCACCCACCTGGGAATCAGCACCAGAAGGGCCCGATTTGCTTGTGAGAAGCAGGGGGAGCGACTGAAAGTAGGGGAGAGCTGAGTAAGTGGCATTGTTTCCTCTCTGGCCCCTCCCCTACATACAGCACCACAAAGCAGCAAAGTGGGTTTCCTCACCCTGAGGATTACCTAATCCTCCACCCCTTACCACATAACGGTGCACCAAGACAAAGAAATATGGCCCAGAAAAAGAACATCAAAACTCCAGAAAGAGGACTAAGAGATGAGGAGAGATAGCTACACTATCTAATGCAGAGTTCAAAACATTGGTAATCAGGATACTCTCAGAAATGATTGCGTACAGACGCAAAATAGAGGAAGAAGTGAAGGTTATGTGAAGTGAAATAAAGAAAAATATATGGGGAACCACCAGTGAAGGGAAAGAAACCGGGAATCACATTAGCGATATGGAACCGGAAGAAGAAATAAACATTCAGCCAGAACAGAATGAAGAAATAAGAATTCAAAACGACAAGAGGGCTTAGGAACTTCTGGGACAACTTTAAATGTTTCAGCATCCAAATCATAGAGGTGCCAGAAGGAGAAGAGGAAGAACAAGAAATTGAAAATTGATTTGAAAAAATAATGAAAGAAAACTTCCCCAATCTGGCAAAGGAAACAGACTTCCAGGAAGTCCAGGAAGCTCAGAGAGTCCCAAACAATTTGGAAGCAAGGAGGAACACACCAAAACACATCCCAAGATTACCCAAGATTAAAGATAAGGAGAGAATCTTAAAAGCAGCAAGAGAAAAGGAGAAGTTTACTTACAAAGGAGTTCCCGTAAACCTGTCATCTGATTTCTCAAAAGAAACCTTGCAGGCAAGAAGGGGCAGAAAAGATGTACTCAAAATCTTGAAAAGCTGGATCACTCTATCGAGAAAAGCTATCATTTAGAACAGAAGGAAAGATAAGGTGCTTTCCAGATAAGGTAAAGCTAAAGGAGTTTATCATCACCAAGCCCTTATTATATGAAATGTTAAAGGGTCTTATCTTAGAAAAAGAAGATCAAAACTATGAACTGTAAAATGACAACAAACTCAAAACTATCAACAACTGAACAACAACAAAAAAAAAACTAAGCAAACAACTACAACAGAAACAGAAACACAGAAATGGAGATCACCTGGAAGGTTATCAATGGGGAAGAGGTGAGGGGAAAAGGGAGGAAGGTACAGGGAATAAGAAGCATAATTGGTAGGTACAAAATGGACAGGGGGTGGTTAAGAATAGTATAGGAAATGGAGAAGCCAAAGAACTTATATGTATGGCCCATGGGCATGAACTAATGGGAGAATGCTGAGGGGGTGTGCAGGGTGGAGGGCGATAAAGGGGAGATAAAAATGGTTCAACTGTAACAGCAAAATCAATAAAATATAGTTTAAAAAAAAATAAGGACACCAGTCATGTTGGATTAAGACCTACTCATGTGACCTCATTTTAACTTAATCACCTATTTACAGATTTTTGTCTCCAAATGCAGTCATATTCTGAGGTGCAGAGGGTAGGACTTCCCACCATATGAATTGGGGGCGAGGGGTAGGGAGCATCATTCAACTCATAAACAGTGATCCTGGGAAAGTTACCTAACCTTTCCAGGCACTCAGTGTCTTTTGTTCTGAAAGGGGATAATACTGTCCACCTCTCAGAAGTGTTAGGAGGAATAAATGCAATAATATAGGCAGTGCCTGGCATATGGTGAGCACTCAAGTGCCATCTAATATTTGTAAATTCTCTGTTCAATAGCTCTGTTCTCTCCAGTCAGCTGCCTCTTCTCTTTCACCTCCATCTCCAGCAACACCCCTGGAGTGGACTGAGCAATTGTTCTTGGTCAGCGAATGACTAATTTCTGCAAATCTTGCCCCTTAGGTCTCCAAGTCCTTCCTGCCCAGCTCAAGACCTTTCTTCCTCTATTATAGGAGCCTCTGAGCAGAGCAACAGAAATGAATGGCAGGTGCTGCAACCCAAGGGTCCCATGCAGGTGGCAGAAGGTGAGACACTCCTACTGAGGTGTACCTTGACCAGCTCCTGCATCGATGCCATGGTAAAATGGGTCAAGGTGAGCAATAACAGCCAGCAGGAAATTTATAACTTCAAACATGGCTTCTTCGCTGGAGTGACAGCCATGATCCAACAGACTTTGGAGCCACTTAATTGCGACTATTCCATCTATATCCATAATGTCACCAGGGAGCAGGCAGGAACCTACCACTGCGTGAGATTTGATGGCTCACGTGAGCGCTCAGAAATGCAGCTGGATGAGGGCACCGTGGTGCTTGTGAGGGGTGAGTATCAGGCCCCGATCTGTTTCCCTACTTCAGTCACTTTTATCCACAATCATGTTGTGCACACAGAATCTCGGTGGCACATAACAATTAGTATATCTCACTCGCACATTTACAGGCAGCTTGGGGTAGTTCTATTCCACACATCTCATTCTCGGGCCCAAACTGGCCAAAGTACATTTTTTTCACAGAGATGGCAGAAGAACAACAAGGCAAGTTTCAGCACTCCCAGCCCATTTCAAGCTTCTACTGGCATAATATCTGCTAACAGCCCATTGGTTAAAGCAAGTCACATGACTCAGCTCAAATTCCATAGACAAGAAAGTGCGCCCTGCCATCATGATGAGGCCATGGGAGGAGAGGGGAGTGGAGAACTGAAGCTGATCATTTACTTTACCTCACTCCCCAAGGAATCAATCATGTTATACATAAGTTCATCAGTGATGACCTGGATACCCCAATCCTGGATGTGCCATTCAATAGAAGTGTGGTCTTAAATCAGTAACTTTAGTTCCATGTACTTCAAGTGCTTAACTTAAAAAATAGGCAACCTAATTCCTACCTCAAGAGTTGTTCAGGTGATAAAACAGAACAGATGTTTGTAAGAATCTGTGTGAGGGGGTGTGGCGGGGGGTGTATCATTTTAAGTTGACGCTAGCCTCTCAGGAAGCCTTCTCAGACTCCGTTCAAGCTGTGGTTGCTGACTTCTCTTGGCCTAGCAGTCCTCTAGGTTCCCAAACTCAGGGGGATTTTCGGCACCATCTCCACCACCAGACAGACCTTCTTCAGGGCAGGACATTTGGGTGCCATTCTGAGTTTCATTTTCCTCAGTTGTAACATCAACACAAAGTCAGTACTGAGAACTTTTTTACTGAGTGAATGAACTACTGAGTAATGAGGGAAAATAGGAGGCACTGGATGAGTGAAGAAATTGGGGAAAGGGGAGGGAGGGAAAATATGAGGGAGGCAATGAGTGGACAATGGAAGAAGAGAGAGAATAAAACAAGGACCTCTTTTTGGCTTCAGGAGCTGGGGACCGAGAGCCAAGCTTCTGGATCATCCAGCCCCAAGAGCTGGTGTTGGCGACCCCTGGAGACACTGCCTTCCTGAACTGCACAGTGGTTGGAGATGGTCCTTCCGGGCCCATCAGGTGGTTTCGGGGGACTGGTTTGAGCCGGGAAGCCATTTACAACTTCGAAGGCATCTCCCAGCCCAACGTGACTGCGGTCCAGGCCTCTAACAGTGATTTCAGCATCCTTCTGCAAGGTGTCTCCGCTGAGTATGCAGGCACCTACTACTGTGTAAAGTTTGAGAGGAAACCCAACAGGCAATACCTGTCTGGACAAGGAACCAGGCTGAGAGTGAAAGGTGAGGCAGGTGGTCTAAGGAGGTGTTGGGGGAAACAGGAGGTTATCCACAAGGAACTTGTCACCACGTCCCGAACAATCCACCTCTTTTCAGCTGCCATGCCTCTACATAAGCTGTTCCCTCTGCCTGGAATGTTTTCTCATGTCCTGTTTGAACTCCTACTCATCCTTCAAAGTCCAGCATAAATAGCCCCTACTCTGAAACCTCCTTTTACCAGAAAGAGTTAATTTCTCCCCATTCTGGGTCCCTTAGAATCTTGTATAGTTAATGATTCAACAAACATCTAGCATATGCCTGTTCACTGCTCAGCACTGTACCCAGTGCTATGGATACTTCAATGAATCATTCTTTCTACCACAGAGATGCTCAAGCAGGTCTAACTAGTCCTTCACAGTTATAAGGTTTGACTTTATGTAACTATGAAGGTTACAAGTAGTCAAATCCCGTCCTAGGTAGAAACTGGCAGACTCATCTGGGTGATCCCAGCTCCGAGCACAGAGCTCATACAGTGCTGGGACAGAAGGAAAAATGGAATTTGAGACCGCCTCTCTCCCTTGCAGCAAAGCCCACTTCTCCCCAAGAGACAGAAGTCATCGACCAACCTGAAGAAGAGATACTTCCATCAGGTGAGTGCACCTGCCTCTAGTGGGGTTACCAGTCCCCCACAGGCAAGGCTGGGGAGGCAAAGATGGCTTAGCCATGGGAAAGGAGTGGCCTCTTCTAGGGCCCATCTGCCACCAGCAAGGTTCCTAGGACTCCATCTCAACTGCAGAACCACAATCCCAGAGAATCTTGCTAAAGCTCAATTAGAGAAACAGACAGTGCTGTTCAGTGGGCAGTCTTGCTCGAGAGGTAGTGGGCTCCCCATGATTCCTTGTAAGATTACACTGTAAAACTGTTCATAACAGAGCTGAAGTACATGAAGGACAGGGAGCTGTGCCTGTCACCTCACCTATTAGCACTCGGAAGCACTTGGCAACCGAGGGGAACTGGGGATACAGGTAGCCAGGTTGCCCTCCCTGATGCTCAGTCCTGTTCCTGCTATTTTGGGGAGCCCACCACTTCTGCGACCCATGTGGCCCAGAGCAAATCACTTCCCCACTCTAGGTCTGTCTCTGCCTCCTCATCTATACCAATTGCATTGTTATCCTACCTTGCAAGATTAGTTTGAGGAATATATTATGCAATTAGGAAGTGCTTAGCTCAGGGCCTGGGGCAGAGGAGCCAAGAAGCCAATAAATGAAAGCAGTTTTCTGTTACAGTAGGTCCTTGAATGACGCTCTATCCGTCATTTTATTATAATGTTGATGAGATGCCATAGGAACTTCACTCTTGTTTATATCAACTAGCTTACAGTAAAATTGGTCTCATTACACATTTTATATGTTTTGCTTAAAGTCAAAGAACCTATTGATGATGCTAAGTGAGGGCTTATTGTATTGTCAGAGTTCAGGGATGCTATCAAGATGATTAAAGATACAGGCAGGATATTGAGCAAAGCCTTTCTGGGCCTGGGACACAGGGAAGGAGGACTTGCACCTCCTCTTCCAGTATAGAAAGAATGTGGCCCCAGAGGTCATAGGGCAGCTGAGCCCAACTTCGCCCACAGGGAGCAGTGAGGTGTGGGAGGTTGAGGGCTCACCTGGGGCTCTTCCTGAACTCTCCTTTGTGTCCTCCAGGCCTCCTGTATTTGCTCACAAGTGTGGTCCTGGGACTGAAGGCCTTGACCTTAGCTGTACTTCTGCTGGTCCTGGCTGCCTGCTGGAAAAGAAGGCCTGGGCAAGAAAATGTCAAAACTCCAGGCCTGGCAAAGCTGAGCTCATCTTAGCATGGGGAATGGAGCATGTGTGAGGGGTCAGCTCCAAAATCGTCCTCTGAATTGGAGAGGGGTCAAGGCTCCCCAGCCATTTCTCTGCCTCCAATCGCAGCCTTGAGATGTCCTCCAGGACTCATGACAAACTCCAGCCTCCCTACACCTGGTTTCGGTTCCCCTGGTGAAATGTGCCCCTTGGCACAGGGCTCCCCTTTGATGTGCCTTTCTTTTTCTTCTCAGCCTGTTCAGGCCCTCCTTGTCCTGGTCTCTCCTCAAGGCCTTTGTTCCTGCTGCAGTCACTTCTGAAGGGCCCTCCCCCTTCTTCCCAACTCTACATTTACGCGACCTTCGAGATCTGACTCAGACTTCCCAGAAGGTATCCCTGAGCGTTTCTGAGCTCACCCAGTCACGCGGCCTGTGCCCTCCGTTTATATCCCTCTATCCCCTTTCCTACATTTTTTTATTCCCCACTATGTCTGGCTTGGGTAGCTGGAATAGCTGGAATACAGGTTTACCAAGTTTAACAAAACTCATAAATAGCAGTGGTTTAAACGGAAACAAAGCTGGTTTCTCTAGTAATGTGCAAGCATAAGCGGACCAGGCAAAACAGCTGCTCCCTGGTATTGAGACCAAGGATTCTTTGATCTTGTCGCTATCAGGTCCACATTCCAGGCAGCAAGACCAGGGAAAAGGCAATGAAGGGGAGCAGCACACGCTCCTTCAAGGACACAGGTAGGCATTTGCCCACATCACCTCTAATTGTCTGGAATGTGTCACATGGTCATACCTTTGCTGCAAGGAAGGCTGGGAAATGTAGTATTTATTCTGGCAGCAATGTCCCCAGCTGAAAATTTGTACTAGAGAAACAAAGGTAAATATCAGTAGATATTGTAACCGGTAATGTCTGCTTTAATACCTCAATGGCCTAGACGCAGCCTCTTCCTTGCTCTGTGTGACTCCTGAGTTCAATTCCCAACTGAAAAAGCACCTTTTTGTGTCCCCTCCAACAGTCGGACAACATAATGGAGTGCAGTCATTTTCAAGAAGAGGAGATTTTGCCATCCAGGGGCATTTGGCAATGTGTAGAGACATTTTTGGTTGTCATGAATTAGGGGACCATCACCATCTAGTGGCTAGAAGTCAGGGATGCTGCTAAATATGTTAGAATAATGCATAGGGCAGCCCCCACAGCAAAGAGTTGTCTGGCCCAAAGTATCAGCCGCGTCCAGGTAGTGAAGCCCCGGTGTAGGGGGAGGCGGGCGTTCCCTGGAGTCAGACACCCCTGACTGCTAACCCTGAAGCCCCCACCCCCTCCCTGTGCACCCTTAGTGACTAATCAGTCCTTTCATCTCTTAAAACGTGGAGGATAACAACACAGACTTCTCTGCATTGTATAAAAACCAATTTAATTTATCATTTGCTGAGGACTTACTGTGCATTGTGTTCACTGGGTACACTCAGGATGTATGAACCCCCTTTTTCTTTTTCCATGAAAACATTTATTAACACCTACCATGTGAGGAAGTGGATTAGTCTAGAAGCTTTTCATCATAACAACAGAAAAACAGGTTGAACAAGCTAAGGCAATGAGGACATTAATTTGGTCTAAGAATCATTGAATTACCAGACAACGGAAGGCACAGATATGGTGGCTAAATAATGTCTACCCCAACACACGCGCGCGCGCATACACACACACACACACACACACACACACCCCAAAGACATCCACGTCCTAGATCCTGGAATCTTTGAATGTTACCCTTTATGGAAAAAGGACTTTGCAGATGTCATTACGGATCCTGAGTTGGAGAAGTTATCCTGGATTACCTGGGTAGGCCCTAAATGCAATCACAAGTGTCCTGATGATGTAGAGTCACAGGGAGATTTGACACAGAAGAGAAGGAAGCAATGTGACCTCAAAGACGCAGAGGGCAGCCACAACGAAAGAATGCCAGCAGCCAGCAGAAACTGGAAGAAGTGAGGAGCAGGCTCTCCCAGTGCCTCTGGAGGGAGCGCGGCCCACTGACACCTTGACTTCAGCCCTGCGGTACTGATTTCAGACTTTGGGTCTCCCGACCTATGACAGAATAAGTCTGTTGTCTCAAACTGCCAGGTTTGCAATAGTTTATTACAGCAGCCATAGGACACGAACAACAGGAAACATGGCACTGGGCCCCCAGAAAAACTGGAGGCGGTTCCCTACTCTGCCTCTGAAAACCTGACCTTGCAGGGTCCTGCATGGCCTGGTCCCTGCCACCCACCCCATCTCTTCTCCCAGCACCACCTATTAAAAGGACTCCGCTCTGGCAGCCACCTGGGCCTTGACCACACCACCTCCCCTAATTCATCCAGGTCTCTGCTTAACTGTCCCCTTCAAGAGGCCTCACCAGGCCACTATATCCTCCATGCTATCTCCACCACTCTCATTTCCCTTATGCAGCTGAAGTTTTCCTCACAGCATTTACTGCTACCTGAAATGAGAGTGTGTGTGTGTGTGTGTGTGTGTGTGTGTGTGTCTTGTGTCTTGGTGACTGTTAGTTGTCCCCGCTGCATTTGAGCTCACTAAGGGCAGGAACCTAACTCTCCACCATTGTAGCCCCTTTCATTCGGTCGTAAAAAGTGGTTGAAGGCTGACAATGTTTCAGGCACGAATCGGTGTGCTGAGAATAAAATGGGAAAGACAACTCTCTCAGAGCTTCCTTCCTCCTGGGGGAAGACAAAGAGAGAATTAACGTAGATAAGTAATATTCATATGAGTAGATAACTAATATGTTATATGGATAGATAAGCAAAATGTCACATGGTAGTGGGGACGAGGAAATAATAAGACAGAGTGGGGGTGGGGGATAGAAGGTGCCAGAGTTAGCCAGAAGTGAGGCTATTTTATTTAGGATGCTCAGAAGAGGCATCAATGATAAAGCAACATTGGTCTGAGACCCAAAGGGAGTGAAGGAGAGAATCTTGCAAATATGTAGGGGAAGAGCTTAATAAGCACAAGGAGCAGCAAGTGCAAAGGCCCTGAGGCCAGAGTATGCTTACCAGGGCACAGGAATCGCAAGCACCAAGCAGAATGTTTGGCACTTGTAAACCCCTGTAAACATCTGAGAGGGTACACAGGGTAGAGGTAAAGTTCATACTCTTGGGAATCTGGCTGTACAGGCTCAAATACCAATTCTACTCCTCTCTGAGGGTGAGTTTGTTTCTCTCAGTGTATCTGGGTTTTCTTATGTACAAACTACTACTACTAACATTAACACCTTCCTTCTGAAGTCGTTCTGAGGCTAAATGCCTCAGTGCACGTAAAGCGCTAGCTGTGCCGGGCGCGTGGGAAGCACTAAGTAATTGCCATTAGGTGTTGACAGAACAAACTGCAGTTGCCATCCCACAGGTGGCAAGGAATGTGACAGTCCACATTGCCTGCCCCTCATCTTGTCACTGCAGCCACCAAGAGGGCCCTGACTCTTACCAGATTCGGTTTTGAAATCTTGGGGAAAAGGCTAATGTGACTTACAGAGACATGGCAGGGAAGGTGTGTCCCCAAAAGACGTGAAGAGGGTGCTGACAAATAAAACAGACATCGGTACTTCAGGGCCCTTGGTGGGCACTCAGGGAAAACCTGCTGTTGACAGATTGAAAGAAGGGGACTAAACTGAAGTCAGGGTTCCTCGGTGCCAGCACCCACTGCTTTGAGGCCTGCAGCCCTGCGCAGGCATGATGGCCGACCAAGGTGGGACAGGGTGGCGGGGCACTGCCACCACTCCCACCAGGGGCTAACAGGCCACTCTTGCTTCTCCTGCTTGGGCCTCCGGATCTGAACCGTGGGAGGTCCATGTCTGTACTCCAGGCCTCCTTGAAGGGACTGTGTTTCTCTCCCTCCCCTTCTTCTGCCTCCTCCTTTCCTGCTGCTCTGCGTTATCCCTTTCATTCCCCTCCACAGTTCTTGCCCCACCCTTTCCCCTTCAGAGTCCCCCACTTCCTCCTGCAGAGAAGGTTTAGAGCTGGAGGAAGACAGGGGACAGACACCACTCCGCAGAGGCCTCCTGTATCCTGAGACCCGAAGGATGAGGGCTCTGAAAGGTCAGTGTTGGGGTGAAGTGGGAAGGGGTGCCAGGGCTGCTCGAGGATACTCCACTGCCACCCACAAGACACCACACCTGGGTTCACACTCAGCAGCTCTGTGTCCCTGGGCTAGAGTGAGGGTAAAGGAGTGCCAGGCCTGGCCCAGCATGGAGTTACCTGTTTCTAAATCCTGTTTAAATGGCACTTTATATACATACATACATCAGTCCCACCCTGGCTCTTTGGGGTCAGCATTTGAGATTCACCCAGGTTGGTTACCTGAAGCTCTAATCCATTCATCTTCACAGCTGTATAGCATCCCACTGTGCCAGTGTGTAATATTTGGGGGTTCTCTTTTCTTTTATTTTTAAATCATGTTTATTCTGTTACAGTTGGCTCAGTTTTTCCCCCTTAGCCCTCCTCTACCCATCCCACCCCACCCCCCTCTCCCACAGTCAATTCCCACACTGTTGTCCATGTCCACAGATCATTCATACATGTTCTTTGTTTAGTCCCTTTTCCTTCTTTCCACCATTGTCCTCCTTCCCCATCCCCTCTGGTCACTTTCAGTCTGCTCCATGTTTTCTTCCTTGTGGTTTATGTTGTTCATTAGTTTATTGTGTTGAACAGATACCACTTATAGGTGAGATCATACAGTATTTGTCTTTCACCGACCAGCTTATTTCACTTAGCATAATATTCTCCAGTTCCATCCATGTTGTTGCAAAATGTAGGAGTTCCTTCTTTCTTTCCTTTTTTTTTTTACATGCAGATTGATTTTATTTATTTTTTTAAATGTCAAGATCCATTATAAAATATTAAAAAATTTAAATCCATAATAAAGTCTCAGCAATTAAAACAACATGACACCAGCACAGAAATAATCCAGTAGATCAATGAAATAAAATGAACATTATAGAAACAAACGTATATATCTGTCTAACAATGGAATA